TCTAAGTCATGTATTTTCAATGGGGGTAAAATTGCCTCCAAGGGGGATGAGAATTCATTCTTGGGGATGGCAAAAAAAAAAAAAAAAAAGCTTACACAGGGACTTCCCTGGTGGTCCAGTGGTTAAGACTCCATGCTCCCAATGCAGGGGGACCGGGTTCGATCCCTGGTCCGGGAACTAGATCCCACACGCCGCAACTAAAAGATTCCACATGCCGCAACTAAAGATCCCGCACACCGCAACTAAAGATTCCACACGCCGCAACTAAAGATCCTGCACACCACAACTAAAGATCCCACACGCGGCAACAAAAATCCTGCACACAGCAACAAAGATCCTGTGTGCCGCAACTAAGACCTAGTGCAAATAAATAAATAAATTTTTTAAAAAAAATCTTATGTAAATGGGTATGAAAACAACCAACCATCCAAGAGAAAACTGAATAAAGGACATGAACAGGCAGGTCAAAGGAAAAAAACACATCTTAAATAAAAAGATGTTCAAAGCAACCATTATAAGAATAAAGTAATGTAAGGGAACTTGAATTAATATAAATTAATGTGAAATGAAACCAGCCTAATAATATACATACACATTAGTATTTCTAGATTCTGGGATTACATGTAAATATCAATTAATTCTTCATACCTTTATGTATTGCCTGAAGGTTTTATAATAAACATTTACTACTTTCATCACACAAGTATCATTCTCATGAAAAACTGTTTATAGAGTATAATTTTCATTTATATATGCATGTGTATGTGTGTATTCTAAAATAACAACAGTGATTTATCCCGGGGTAAAAACAATCTGGGTAATCCTTGTTTTCTTCTTTGTAGTTCTTGGAAAATGCAGAAAATAACAATCATAAAAATTTTTTAAGTATATTAAAATAAATTACAAAATGGCTATACTAGTAGATTGTTTTTTCACTTATCTGAAGAGCAAAGATAAAGAAGTTTGATAGTACTCTGTACTGACAAGGGCACTGGTAAGACTGTTCTTTGGTACACCAGGGAAAGTTTATAGAATATTGCTATGACACTAGTATTTGTCAAAATAATAAATGCACGCCTACTTTGGTCCTGGAATTTTACTTTCAAAACTTGGTCCTACAGATATACTTACACAAAATTATTCATTACATCACTGCTAAGATTAGAAACAATCCAAATGTCCATCAACAAGGGAAGAGTTAAATAAATGATGATCCATCCATTATGCAACCATTAAAAAGAATGGGGGGCTTCCCTGGTGGCGCAGTAGTTGGGGGTCCGCCTGCCGGTGCAGGGGACACGGGTTTGTGCCCCGGTCTGGGAGGATCCCGCATGCCGCGGAGCGGCTGCGCCCGTGGGCCATGGCCGCTGGGCCTGTGCGTCCGGAGCGTGGGCTCCGCAACAGGAGCGGCCACAACAGTGAGAGGCCCGCGTACCACAAAAAATAAATTAATTAATTAAAAAAGAATGGGGGTGCTTCCCTGGTGGCGCAGTGGTTGAGAGTCCGCCTGCCGGTGCAGGGGATACGGGTTCGTGCCCCGG